AGATGTATTTTTTAATTTAAAATAGCCTTTTGAAAATTGTCTGTGCCTTTGTAGTTGGCGGTATGTTTAAAAAATATATATAATCTGTTTGTTTTTGCATAGCCTACTTCTAAAAATAAATACAGAGGAAGGCTATGGTTTTTGTTTCAGAATATTTGTATTTATCATTCTGATTACAGTGATAGCCCTCTAAATTTTATACAATGTATGCATAACTTTTTAAAATTATTAGGAGCTCTCAGGCTCTCATCGGCAGCCTGGCAGGTTGCGTGTGTGTGTTTTATTTATAGACTTTATGATGTGTATATTTTTTACTGGATGCGACACTGCGACCCGCGTCTGAGTAACTGACTCATTGTGTGAGTACCTGCTTCCTGCGAGGCCGATCAGTTTGAAGTTCGGTCTGTTCGTAAGTATTTTTAGTGAAGTGTGAACTTGATACCACATTTATTTATTTTTTGATATATTATGCCCACACTCGTTGGCCCCTAGATTCAGTATTCAGATTACAATTCCAGTGAGTCTTTGATTTGATACATCCATCTACCATCATGTCTATCTGTCGCCAGAATTTCGCAAGCGCTGCTGAAAAGCACCTTAGTGAACAGGTAATAGTTCAAAACGCAGTATTCTATAAGAAGGTTGGGCCTATCGTATAGGAAACATATTTGGTTGACCTCGAAGATTCCAACTCTCATAGCGTATCGCTTACATATTTTTGTAGAGTTTATCTGTTTATGAACACAGGGCTTTCTTTTACATCTAACTCGATTACTTACAAACCTTTCAAATCCCAGATCAATGTCGAGCTTACTGCGCAATATCACTACAACAGCGCCGCGGCCTACTTTGACCGTGACGATGTCGCCCTTCCAGGTTTCAAGGTGTGTTATGGATTTGCGCTTGCAACGGGGTGTACGCATTCATCTACAGCTATGGCTTGGAACTTGCCATGTTTTGTAGTCTTGTGGAATCATGTTTGATATTGTACAAGAGTGTGAATGTATGGCTGAAGTCACTACATATTGAATATGGGTTGTCTCTCCAGAGTACAATCATAGAAGCACAAGTACCCCTTAATACCCCAAATATCATACTTTTAACACTAGAGGAGGGTCGACGTCGAAGTTGTATTATACTTTACGCTGCAGGGGTCTACAAGTTATGTTTCAGATGACTTAAGTAGCTTTGTACACAATGCAAATGTGTTTCACTTGACTATGGTAAATCCTAAACCCCACACTATAAAAGCGTCTGTATATGATATAACCACTAGCAACCAACATTCCTACAATCTATTCGAAAGACCGCATAGGTATTTCAATCGCCTTGTGTGAGTCTTCATGTACGTCCGTTCATTTTTGAACCTACCACTCACCAGTGAGAGACCCTGTCTTCCTTCTGCATAAATGTTCATTAATTTCGAGCCTGCCACTCACAAGTTACTGTCTTATCCGTTTACGTGCTAGCCTCTTTTCTACCTTTATCTTTGGATGGTGGATGGATCACCCACTGATGGCGTTTTCATACCATTAATTCATGTTTCAGACAGATCGGGGCAGTTTAGATGCACTTGTTAAGGACTATTGCACAAGTTATTTTTGATGCAGGTATTATAATTGTCCGAAGCATTTTCATTTCAAAGAGACAGACGTGCATTCTTGGTTTTATTTCATACCTACATAGGTTTCTGGAGCATAACGTTGCAAGGTTGATATTTATATTTATATACCTGTGTTTGTTGTATGCTCCGATGAACTGCTATTTATTATTACGAATATCATATTGTACGGTGCAGTGGGCAAGAAATACACGATTATCTGAAGACAATTAGCGCATTGTTTACTAGCTACAATGTGCGACACAGAACGCAGCAAGAAACAAGCTGATGTTTTCTGCTCGTGCTTTCATCCAGAAATTCTTCAAGAAATCATCTGAAGAAGAAGGAGAACACGCGCAGATGCTTATCGACTACGTGAACAAGCGCGGGGGAGTGTGCGAGTTCTCAGCAATCGAGGCACCGCCAAAGTGGACTGGCCCTCTCATGGCCATGGAAGCTGCTCTAGCAATGGAGATGAAGGTGTGTTTAGCGAGCGTTAGACGGTGCGGTACAATACTATGTACTAAATGTATACCTGTACCGTATTCCAGCTGCTGTCTGGTCCTTGTAGTCTTGTCACGGATCCATCCGTACACATTGCTTTTCACCTACTGATGAGATCAACCCAACTATGCAGGTGAATGCGTCGCTTCTGTCGCTACACAAGACCGCTGAGGACAATGACGATGCTCAGATGTGCGATTTCCTGGCAAGCAACTACTTGGGAGAACAGGTATGCGCATTGCACTCAAAATACGTCATCTTTTAGAACGGTCTCGAATACAAAATCTAAGGATGTACTTTCTAAGCGAGCCATATATTCCATACCAATATACGAGTCACACTTTCGATGACAGAAACATGTGTCGAATTCTTAACACACACATTGTATCCTATTGAAATAATACAGATCGATGGCCAGAAAGAAATTGCCGATCTGATCACAAATCTGAAGAGAGTGGGCGGCGACAACTTGGGCTTGTTCTTATTCGACCAGCAACTGGGATCCAGAGCATAAATTAAAGCACTGGTGCATTGTTTGAGTGGGAAAAGTTGGGTTGCGTGACTATCGGAGATTACCAGTTTTTCCAATCATCTGATCTGAACATAGGTCTTTTTTCTGGCTATTAGAGACACTTGGGCATGATGTAGCCTTATTTGCCGATTCGGCTCAAATAAAGGTATACCATATAAGTAGGGGTGTCCTTCTCATTTCGATAGCTGACTGGCAAATGTTCGCTTAGCAGATTCATAGCCGTTCCCCTGAACGCTTGCTGAACTGTTCTACATTGCAGCCATTCTAGGCTGATAAAGCGGACTTTGCTTATACGACACGAAACAGAGGCTGATTTCATTAGTGCACTGTCTTCGAAATACGATAGAAAAGACCTCTGTCACAGGTTAGTTATCAATTTTAAATTGGTTGCGGCCTTCTACAAGCATCTAATCGGCTCTGGTGTACAGTTCAGATACCAGCACAGACACGACTAATAATAATCACCCGACCATTAGCTCTCACAATTGATGGCATAGTCACTCAGACATATATGCTCTAGCTATTGCTTTTCCGATATAGTCAATGCTTTACATGTGTATAGAATAATTATAGAGGCTAACATGTGTATTCAAATTTTTAAGGCTCAGATACAGACTTCTTGAAACAAACTATGCTGTAGATAGGCGATCAGTCTCTCACCCCTCGCCACTTGCGGTGGGCCTTTTTGGGATTGATATAAACGCTGCACGTTACCAGCACCGAGACAAGGTAATAGAATATTTTACGAGCGCAGAAAGTCCGATAAAATAACTTTCGAAAAGTAAATAGACAATAGTTTGTATCTTAGTATTTGGCGTAACATTCATACTTTAAACAATTGTGAAGATTGCATCACGTGCGAGAAGTGTGTATATTTCAGTAAAGATAAGGATAATCATTTGTAATAATGAATGGTATCTATAGTAATATGAATACATTCCATATATACATATATAT